ACTCAGTGAATTGTTGGCCAAGTATCCGTCGTATGTTGCGGTTTCAGTTCTTTGTTGGTTGTGAAAGTATTGCCCAGACTCATCCATTACCATACTGCCCACGGGAGTTGAGCATTCACCCGTCACACCGGCAATTGGAAATGTCAAGGTACCTATCTCTCGTCTAAGCAACTCAGTGTAAGACATGTGAGTTGTTGTTATGCACCCTACGGTCTGACTACTGCCTATGCCGACATTGATGTCCTCCGTCTCTACGTATAAAGCAACACTAGCAATGCTGGAGTTGTCAAGTACAACATTCACCACAGTTTTCACTAGTTCATCATTGACAATTTCCAGATCGACATATGTATTCATATTTGGTCCTGTTCCAAGTGTAAAAGGATATCTACAAGTCAACTTCAACTTGTAATGTACTCTGTCCAACCCCATTATAGTGTAAATTTTACTCAACAACTCCGGCAGGTGTGTACCACTATTGATAACAATTCCACCTTTGGGCGGACAACTGTAAGATAAACCCTCCGATCCATATTCTATTTTTCCACCCCAATATAGAAAAACAGTAACTTGTTTTCCCGCCATTTTATTTACTTACGATTTTGGAAAAAGTTCTGAATTCAGAAAAACCTGAGAATAGATAGAAACGATTAATAATTGAAGAATAATAGATCAAAACATAATCAAAGTCTCATGTCAATCTAACGCATGCGACCTACAATAGTTTATCAATTAATAAACCTACAAGGATGAAGTGTACTTATATGATACTAAGATATATAGAAATACAACCTTTATATGGAAGTTTGAAAAAATATTTCTCAAAAGTGGGTATCTCGTAGCAAGTTATGAAGAAGCCAAACAATGTAGGCGATTTTGATAGGAGTGCAGACGATACAAAATGAGTTCCTATTGTGATCCTATGAGTTTCTATGAGTTACAATATGAGTTGCTATATAGACGATACAATACGAGTCTATATGAGTTAATAATACCGTATGATCAAGTGATCTAACCATTAGAAAATAAAAGAGAAATATTAATCAAATTGATATAGACCCGTATTTGTCCAACACCACTGAGTTTGTTAATATCTAACACTTCCATTAATGATGACCAATTGATGACATAGTTGAACTAAATGACATAGAGAAATGCCTCTTTACATATAGCAAATGAGGTTTATATATGCAATAATATTATTTGAATCTTTGTTAACATAATTAGCTAACCTAATTATTTGTAATTAATTGTAATTAAGTCATTCATTAATCAGATAAAACCCAACATGAGAAAGAGAAAAAGGTCATCTACCAAAGAAAACCCACAACAAATGCATACGAGATATTAAATCTTCAAATATATTTGAGAAAAGGTTTTTGTCCGCTCTTATGACTAGTTACACTTCACAACATGAAACACATGCAGTAGCTATTGATTGACTGCAAAATAAAAACATATGTGGACATAAGCACAATAGTCTGACCAACAAATGACAACACAGTTATAAATGCACCCAAAAACACTTCTACCAAAGCCATTGCTTTCGATTTTGGGAGATGGGTTGGGAACAAGAGGAACACAGAGAAAATGGAAGTGTGTGAAGGATGGGTTTCAACAGTAATGATTAAGGCCTCCTTAAAATCTATGAGATGAAAGAGAAAAAAAAAAGCTAATTACACCGGCGGTGCTTAAAATATATGGTTTGTCTCGTTTGTGCTGTTAATATTCCATTTGTATCATTTTAGTCTTTAAAATATTAAACATATTTATATGTAGTTCTTCAAGCAAACGTCTAAATTATTGATAATTTTTTATTATAAACTTCATACGTAATACCTCAATATGGACAAAAAAATAATTTAGATAACTTTTAATCACATTTTTATCTAAATTGTAATTAAAGACCTATGCAAATTACACAGTTTTAATCATGAGGTATTAGAATTTTGGTCAAAAACTATCCATATAAGGGCCTTTGAGTTCAACCCAAGTTTGTTATTTTAATTTTTTTTAAATAAGAGAATATATCTATTTTTCTGCTAATATAATCCTATTGATATTTTGTTATCAAAATTAAGCAGCTAACTAATGAATTATCTATCGCCAAAGTGTTATGTATTTTGTAGCTTTTTATTTTTTGGGTTAAATTCGACACTTGCATCTGAGATATAACTCTAGGTTAACGGAGTTTCTCACATCAGAAAATTCTATGTGCCATTCTTTTTGTAGCTTAACTATTTATATAGAAAAGTAAATATAATTTTTATTTCAATCTGACTATTTGAGCATAAATTGGATTTTTTTAACTAATTATTTCAATTTTGATAAAAAAAAACTAATTATTTCAATCTAAATATACTACTACCAGTCTACCAATCTTTAACAGATAATTACAATCAAAGAAAATTTTCATTTAACACAAAATTACAACAAACAAATAATATTTTTATTTAACAGATAATTACCAAAAAAAAATAAAAATTAAATTTCAAATAAAAAAAATGAACTACACTTGCCTGCTGTCAATGGTGGTCGCAGGTTGTCAATGGTGTTCGCAGGTGCTCGTTGGTGGTCAATGGTGGTTGCTCGTGGTCGTTGGTGGTCGCTCGTGCTCAACGGTGGTCGCAGCTGGTGGCTCGTGGTCAAGGGTGGTCGCAGTTGGTCGGTCCTGCTCCCTTGTTGTTCGCATGATAATGGGTCAGCTGTTGGAGGGTTTTCGTGGCGTGGGCGGTCGCTGTTGGTTGCTGCGANCCACAGTTTTCACTAGTTCATCATTGACAATTTCCAGATCGACATATGTATTCATATTTGGTCCTGTTCCAAGTGTAAAAGGATATCTACAAGTCAACTTCAACTTGTAATGTACTCTGTCCAACCCCATTATAGTGTAAATTTTACTCAACAACTCCGGCAGGTGTGTACCACTATTGATAACAATTCCACCTTTGGGCGGACAACTGTAAGATAAACCCTCCGATCCATATTCTATTTTTCCACCCCAATATAGAAAAACAGTAACTTGTTTTCCCGCCATTTTATTTACTTACGATTTTGGAAAAAGTTCTGAATTCAGAAAAACCTGAGAATAGATAGAAACGATTAATAATTGAAGAATAATAGATCAAAACATAATCAAAGTCTCATGTCAATCTAACGCATGCGACCTACAATAGTTTATCAATTAATAAACCTACAAGGATGAAGTGTACTTATATGATACTAAGATATATAGAAATACAACCTTTATATGGAAGTTTGAAAAAATATTTCTCAAAAGTGGGTATCTCGTAGCAAGTTATGAAGAAGCCAAACAATGTAGGCGATTTTGATAGGAGTGCAGACGATACAAAATGAGTTCCTATTGTGATCCTATGAGTTTCTATGAGTTACAATATGAGTTGCTATATAGACGATACAATACGAGTCTATATGAGTTAATAATACCGTATGATCAAGTGATCTAACCATTAGAAAATAAAAGAGAAATATTAATCAAATTGATATAGACCCGTATTTGTCCAACACCACTGAGTTTGTTAATATCTAACACTTCCATTAATGATGACCAATTGATGACATAGTTGAACTAAATGACATAGAGAAATGCCTCTTTACATATAGCAAATGAGGTTTATATATGCAATAATATTATTTGAATCTTTGTTAACATAATTAGCTAACCTAATTATTTGTAATTAATTGTAATTAAGTCATTCATTAATCAGATAAAACCCAACATGAGAAAGAGAAAAAGGTCATCTACCAAAGAAAACCCACAACAAATGCATACGAGATATTAAATCTTCAAATATATTTGAGAAAAGGTTTTTGTCCGCTCTTATGACTAGTTACACTTCACAACATGAAACACATGCAGTAGCTATTGATTGACTGCAAAATAAAAACATATGTGGACATAAGCACAATAGTCTGACCAACAAATGACAACACAGTTATAAATGCACCCAAAAACACTTCTACCAAAGCCATTGCTTTCGATTTTGGGAGATGGGTTGGGAACAAGAGGAACACAGAGAAAATGGAAGTGTGTGAAGGATGGGTTTCAACAGTAATGATTAAGGCCTCCTTAAAATCTATGAGATGAAAGAGAAAAAAAAAAGCTAATTACACCGGCGGTGCTTAAAATATATGGTTTGTCTCGTTTGTGCTGTTAATATTCCATTTGTATCATTTTAGTCTTTAAAATATTAAACATATTTATATGTAGTTCTTCAAGCAAACGTCTAAATTATTGATAATTTTTTATTATAAACTTCATACGTAATACCTCAATATGGACAAAAAAATAATTTAGATAACTTTTAATCACATTTTTATCTAAATTGTAATTAAAGACCTATGCAAATTACACAGTTTTAATCATGAGGTATTAGAATTTTGGTCAAAAACTATCCATATAAGGGCCTTTGAGTTCAACCCAAGTTTGTTATTTTAATTTTTTTTAAATAAGAGAATATATCTATTTTTCTGCTAATATAATCCTATTGATATTTTGTTATCAAAATTAAGCAGCTAACTAATGAATTATCTATCGCCAAAGTGTTATGTATTTTGTAGCTTTTTATTTTTTGGGTTAAATTCGACACTTGCATCTGAGATATAACTCTAGGTTAACGGAGTTTCTCACATCAGAAAATTCTATGTGCCATTCTTTTTGTAGCTTAACTATTTATATAGAAAAGTAAATATAATTTTTATTTCAATCTGACTATTTGAGCATAAATTGGATTTTTTTAACTAATTATTTCAATTTTGATAAAAAAAAACTAATTATTTCAATCTAAATATACTACTACCAGTCTACCAATCTTTAACAGATAATTACAATCAAAGAAAATTTTCATTTAACACAAAATTACAACAAACAAATAATATTTTTATTTAACAGATAATTACCAAAAAAAAATAAAAATTAAATTTCAAATAAAAAAAATGAACTACACTTGCCTGCTGTCAATGGTGGTCGCAGGTTGTCAATGGTGTTCGCAGGTGCTCGTTGGTGGTCAATGGTGGTTGCTCGTGGTCGTTGGTGGTCGCTCGTGCTCAACGGTGGTCGCAGCTGGTGGCTCGTGGTCAAGGGTGGTCGCAGTTGGTCGGTCCTGCTCCCTTGTTGTTCGCATGATAATGGGTCAGCTGTTGGAGGGTTTTCGTGGCGTGGGCGGTCGCTGTTGGTTGCTGCGAGTGGTGGGTTGCAGAGGGGAGGGGAGTTTGGTTCCAATTTTAGGCAGGTTGAAGATGGGAGTTTGGTTCCAATGTTACGGCTCAGACACAAATTTGGGGGAAGAATGGCATAACAGAGGAGAAAGAAGAGGGAAATACATTTTCGGATATCTTAAACACGTCGGTCCGTTTGACGTGTTTAAGAAATGTGGGGTCAGTCTTGGGGTTAAAAACGTCATAGACTGACGTTTGACGTTTTTGGTCCGTTTGACATGTTTAAGAAATGTGGGGTCAGTCTTGGGGTTATAGACTGACGTTTGACGTTTTTAAAAATTACCCGTTTTGAAAATTATTTTCAAATCTATCAATTTTTGGGATCTTTTTCTAAAAAACCGCCGGGTAGGGTCAAAAGCTCGCGATTTTGCATTAAATCAATATGTGCCCCTCTGCATGGACAATTTCAGCTGTTGTTTTATAGCTATATAACTGCTTATTAGTATTGTGGCNATTAAATCAATATGTGCCCCTCTGCATGGACAATTTGAGCTGTTGTTTTATAGCTATACAACTGCTTATTAGTATTGTGACAAAAGAATTTATCTGCAGAAAGATATTCGTAAACGTTTCATATTACAGTTTTGATCCTTNTTCTACCAAAGCCATTGCTTTCGATTTTGGGAGATGGGTTGGGAACAAGAGGAACATAGAGAAAATGGAAGTGTGTGAAGGATGGGTTTCAACAGTAATGATTAAGGCCTCCTTAAAGTCTATGAGATGAAAGAGAAAAAAAAAAGCTAATTACACCGGCGGTGCTTAAAATATATGGTTTGTCTCGTTTGTGCTGTTAATATTCCATTTGTATCATTTTAGTCTTTAAAATATTAAACATATTTATATGTAGTTCTCCAAGCAAACGTCTAAATTATTGNCAGATAGCAGAATTTAGGTGACGGTTTAATGAAAAATATGTCTCTTGATAGAACATAATGGAGAAACATGATTTATAAAATTGACTTCAAATAACTGGGATGAAGTTTTGTTGAGTTGAGAAATCGGTTTTTAAAGTTTCTTTTCATCTAAATCAAGATGCGTATACACATTGCACAGCTTCTGATGTTTATAAATGCAAAGAAGAAAGGCCAATTCTCCTAGTAAAATTTCAGTCATAGTCAATATCAAGCCATAGATTTCTGCTAAGCNTTTATACATGCAAAGAAGAAAGGCCAATTCTCCTAGTAAAATTTCAGTCATAGTCAATATCAAGCCATAGATTTCTGCTAAGCTTAATGTTGTGAACGTGCAGTGCAATAAACAATCAAAAACAAGTCCATCAAGGAGGCTGTTTTGCACTATCTATCGAAATCCAAAAAGTTACAACATATTTATTGGCGTCCCTAATCTTAATACAACTAGAAAACATAGTTTTAGTAATTCTGATTCATCAAATCCTACTAAAAATTCTCTGTCATATGTTTGTTTTTCGGACCTAGTAAATATGGTCCACACCCACTCCANGCATAACAGAGGAGAAAGAAGAGGGAAATACATTTTCGGATATCTTAAACACGTCAGTCTGTTTGACGTGTTTAAGAAATGTGAGGCCAGTCCTGGGGTTAAAAATGTTATATGGACTGACGTTTTTAGGTTAAAGACGTCGGATCAGTTCATCTGAAGTCTTTAACCTAAAAAACATCAGTCCATCTAACGTTTTTAAAAATTACCCGTGTTTGGGAATTATTTTCAAACTCACCAATTTTTGAGATCTTTTTCTAAACAAACGTCTGAGTTGAGTCAAAAGCTCGCGATTTTGCATTAAATCAATATGTGCCCCTCTGCATGGACAATTTGAGCTGTTGTTTTATAGCTATACAACTGCTTATTAGTATTGTGACAGAAGAATTTATCTGCAGAAAGATATTCGTAAACGTTTCATATT